CCACCTGCCGGCCGCGCGCCGCCCTGCACCCTGCCGCACCGGCCCGCACCCCGCCAGCCCCGACCGCCCGCGGGGGGGAAACCAGTGCCCAGCACAGGGACCTTGCACAAACCAGTGCCCAGCCCACACCATGGCACGGGGAGAAGACCAGTGCCCAGGCCAGAGACCTTGCAGAAGCTAGTGCCCAGCCCGAACCATGGGGGGAAAAACCAGTGCCCAGCCCAGCCCATAGTGAGGGAAAACCAATGCCCAGCCCAGAGACCTTGTTAGAAACCAGTGCCCAGCCCAGCCCATAGTGGGGAAAACCAGTGCCCAGCCCAGAGACCTTGTAGAAACCAGCGCCCAGCTCAGACCATGGGGGGGGGGAACCAGTGCCCAGCCCAAAGACCTTATAGAAACCAGTGCCCAGCTCAGACCATGGCAGGGGGAGAAAACCAGTGCCCAGCCCAGAGACATTGCAGAAACCAGTGCCCAGCCTGAACCATGGGGGGGAAAACCAGTGCCCAGCCCAGCCCATAGTGGGGGAAAACCAGTGCCCAGCCCAGACAATGGGGGGAAACCAGTGCCCAGGCCAGAGACCTTGCAGAAACCAGCGCCCAGCCCAGACCCTGGGGGAGGGAAAAACTAGTGCCCAGCCCAGACAGTTTGGGAAGAAGATGCGGGTGCCCACGCGGGAAGCGGAGGGGGAGACGGGGTGGGGGGATGTGGGAGGTAGCTGGGGGTGCAGAGACGGGAGGCCTGGCCCCAGCCCACCCTGTGGCCCAGATGTGAGCGATGCCTGTCAGATGGGCGAGGATGCCCGACTCTACCCCGGGGGCACGTGCAGCCTGGGGGGCTGCGGGCAGAGGCGGTGGTGACGGTGCACAGACGAGGAGGAAGCGAGGCCTGGTTTCTAGAGGCGTCGCATGCAGGTGGAGGGAGCCACCGGGGCTCGGCCTCTCTGCAAACGCAGGCGGCGGGTCCCGCAACGGGAGAGGGGCCGCGGAGCCTGCGGTCCCTAGAGCCGGCGACAGACACAGACGAAGGGCTGGGCAGCAGCGAGCTGGGAGCTGGCTGCACCATCCAGGGTGAAGTCCCAATCCCTTCATGCCGTGGTCTGTCTCCGTGCCCTGCTGCCAGCCCGGTCGGAGCCCAGCGGTCGCAGCAGGGCCCGTTCCCCAGCCGGCAGCACCAGGGTTTGGCCTGCGAGCTCCCGGAGGAACCCGGCTCCACCGCTGAGCCTTGGCAAAGCATCTCCCAGCCCCGCTGCTCGCAGGCTCGGCGTGGCACGAGGCTGGCACAAGACACCCCCGGGCCAGCTCTGCCCCTCTGACGGCAGCTTTTTGTCTCTCTCCTCGGCTCCGGTGGCTAAACCGAAGCAGCGAGCAGCCTGGGGGAGGGGGAGTCTGTCCCCCAACATGTAGATCCACCGCAACCCACGCGAACGGAGGAAACGCAGCCTCTTTATTGCGGTCCCCCTACTCCCTGCAACACGCACGCACCTGCCCCAGGCTTTCCCATGCAGAGGACAACAGGGATCAGCTCCAGCCCCGGGAGGAGCATCGCCTCCACCCTGCAGCCAGGCAGATGAGGGGGCCGTTCGCCGGCCGCGAGTCAGGAGCTCTGAGTTATGACCCGATTGCTCCAGGGGAGCCAGGCCTGCTGGCTTTGCGCTCCGCCTGGGCTGGGCCACCGCCAGCCCAGCTCTCCCCCCCTGCACGGACACGCTACCCCCTGCCAGCAGGCAGGATGGACTCTCGCCCTCCTGGTCGGTGCGAGGGTGACGCATGCAGCCAGGACTTTCCATGCCGTGATTTTGCAGGGGCCCTGGACTGAGCCCGCAGCCACAGAAATGCCCGAGGGCTGCGACTGGGGAAGCTAGCGGCACCCCTAGCTAAAGCATCCCACCCGTCACCCTTCGCTGCACCGAGTCCCGGGCTCTCGCCACACTGGGGAGAAGGGTCTCTGCCGCCCCTAAGCCCCGAGAGGGAGATGTACTCATCGCAGCCACAGCATGAGATAGGCTTGCCAGCGTAGTCTACCTAGCGGAGCAGCTGTCAGTCAGCGTCCCAGAGCCGGTTGCGGACAATGCGGATCTCTAGACCGGACGGAGCAAGGAGGAAACAGAAGGGACCTTTGCAGACCCGTGTTATGGAAAGCAAAGGCCTGGGAGGGGTTTCCAAAGCAGGCAGGCAAAGCTGTGCTGCCAGGGGCTGGTTGCAAGTGCCGCTGTGGGGAAGAGGGTTGTGCCAGCCCGGCTAAAGGGGGCAGGGGGTCCAGACCGGGCACCCAGGATAAGAGCAGCTGTCGTCAAAACCCCTGGGAAAGGAGGCCCTGCTTGCACTATGCTGGGGAAGCTGTCGCTGCTTGGAAGAGGGGGTTTGCACAGTCCAACCCCTAGCACCTGCCCACAGTGCTGGGGTGAGGACTTCTAGCTAGGCACCAGCCGAATCGACACCCCAAAACTGTTGTCCTGATGCCAATGAGGGTGTAGAGACCCCTTTTTAGATAGGCACATCCTATTAGGAACCTCCAGCCGTCCTCCCCCAGCCCCTAAAGGCATCGAAGGGAAAAAGAAACCCAGAGGTGGGAATTTCTCATTTTCACAGTCAGGGCCCAGGTGAGAGACGAGGATCCCCTGCACGGCCCACGGGAAGGGCTGGATCCTGCAGAGAGACTCAAACAGTGCATCCCCCCAGCTCTCTCCGCTCCCCGAGACGGGAGAGGAGCAGAGAGGCAGCCTGGAGACAGAGACAACCTCCAAGCAAGCAGGGTGGCTGCGTTGCAAAGATGCTGGCTCAGTCACGCAAAGCAACAGCGTTGGCTGCGGAGCAAAAAGGTTCCCCGGAGAAAACTGCTTGAAACCCGTGAAACAAGAGATTTTAGGAAGCATCTCTGTGAAGGCAGACGCCGTCTCCCAAGTCACAGCGGCCTCCTGTCCGTTACCAAGGGTTTGCTGTTTGCCCCTTCCTGGCGTCTTGTTCATCCCGATTGAAATGTTAAATATTTCTACCGACGTGACAAACTGAGTCCTGAGACCGTAACCTTAAGCCCCAGGTGCCAGTGGGTGGATTCGAAGCCAGCCTCAACCAGCAACTCCAGGGAGCTTTCTGATCAGGAGCAGCGATGCCTGGATGAGTTCCCCCACCCACCCCCGCCGCAAAGGAAAGTCTCGTTACGTCCCAGGCAAAAGCACCGGGACGCGTAAAATCTGTGGCACTGATCCCACTAATAAAAGCTTATTCTGGAGCTCTTCTCCGCCCGTGGACTCGCTTCACCCATTTTCGTCTCCTTTCTCCTCCCACCCAGCCAGGTTTCAACATAACCCGAAGCTGCTCGAGCTGGGGGCAGGTCGTACGTGGAGTCTTGCATTCATGCATCCAAGCAAAGGGCGGAGCGGCGCTAACGGAGCAGAGCGAGGGGGTATTTAAAAGGACTGGGATACCGGAAAGGAGGAAGAATCGTGCCAGGAGGTTTTGCCCATGTTGACCCAGGTTCCCTAGGGGAGCTTGGGGGCAACCAGCAGCTACTCACCCACTGGAGGCTCCACACAGTGCTTTTATCATGCTCTTCCTCTTCATGGCGAGGAGGAAGAACCTCCCATCCTAGCTCCTCAATTCTCCTCCTCAGCAATTAGCCTTATTAAATAATTACAGCTTCTCCTGCAAAGCAGGATCCCTTCTGGAGCTCGTGGTACGCGCTCTATTCTGGATAGCAAAAAGAAACTGCATCTCCATTTAAAATACAAAGCATCTACCCCAGCCACCCCTCGCCTTTTCCTCTGGGAGAGGACGGTGGCACTGAGACAACAGAACAAGGAGCCAAGTTGCCAGGGACATGAGGGACCGTGGGTTTTTCTTTGTAATGCAAACCATTTATTGTGCATATTCATCCTCTCCAGACCATCTGCCCTGCAGAGGGACCGTAATCCCCCTCCTTCAGGGAAAAAAAGAAAAGTCCCAAATACACCGAAAAAAAAAGCCTCCTGGAAATAGCCGGAGTGCCGTGCACACGACTCACGGACCTAAGCTCCTGGAAATAGCCGGAGTGCCGTGCACACGATTCGCGGACCTAAGTGGGGTGGAGGGCGGGCGTTGGGTGCCTGGATGAACTTCCTTGCTAAATAGTCAACCAGGTGGAAGGCAGCACCAGGCTGGAGCAGTCGGTCAGGCCCGAATGATTTAGCCAGATGCCTCCATGAAGCCCAGGCCGCGAGGCCAGCGTCTCGTGCTGCCTTTCAAATCTGAAGCCACCTCTTGCCCTGTAAGCACCATCCCGACCTAAGCCAATGAAGCTCTGCCCAGGGGTGGGAAGCTGCAGACCAAAAGGCTGGCTTTATTAGCAAAACGCGGGAATGGGAATTAAGAAGGAAAACGCGTCAAGGGGGAAAAAACCAAGCAAAAAGACAGGCTTTCCAAGCAGGCTCCGTCTAGAATTTCTTGACGGCAGCGTCGATCTCCGGAATAACCTCCTTCAGCTGGTTCCACTGCTCTGCCGACAGGGAGATGCCTAGAAAAACGACAAAAGGAGAAGGATTGCAGAGCTGCGACTGCAGCACCGGGCAGCTCGGCGTGACGGGGGGGACGGGATCCGACCCGCAGCCCGGAGCAGAAAACTCCTGCCTCGCTCTCGTGCTACCGGGGGGCGGCTTTGATGCTTCTGTTGGGGTAGCAGCCCCCATTTTCAAGGCAAGGAGGATTAAACCTTCCCACTGCTTGCAACCCCCGTGATCGCTCGTGCTTGCAGATGGCACCGTCTTCCTTTTAGCAACTCAGCCACGAGCCAAGTCGCAGGCAGTGGAAGAGATCCACCAAGTGTCACCAGCCTGGGGACACGCACCAGCAAGACCCTGTCTGCGTGCCACTTCCAGCTTCGTTAGGAAACACGTGCCAGCTTTTAGTCTTCAGCTACGTTTGAGTTTTCTAGATAAACGCTGGCGGCTAGAAATGTTCGAGGCAGCCGCGAGAGGAACGGCGTTTCTCACCTTATGAGCAGAGACCTTGCACGGGAGACCTCCCTTTCGTGCCTGCTTTTCTTTACGTACAACGCACATAAAACCCAATCACTGGGTCAGACCAAAACTGCAACTCAGTTCCTTGCTGAGAAACCATCCAAATGCTCGAGGGACATACATCTGGGGCCTGACGGGTCCCCCTCTAGCACGGAGCTACAGCCTGGTCCTGCTCCCCTAAGGACGGGGCACCCCTGCTCTGGGATCCTGCACTCCCGCGCCCAAGAGCACTGGGGGCTGCCACAAGCCACCCTGCTGCAGCGGTTCCCAATCTGTGGTTCGGGTCCCACCAGTGGTCCGCATTAACAGATTTATTCCAATGACTTTATAGGCTAAAAATTTGCCGGCGGTACTTAAAAGGTGGCATTCGTTTTCAATCGGGGGCGTGCAATCTGGCAGAGGTCGGGAAGCGCTGCGTCTAGGCCGGTGGTTTTCAACCTTGCTTCGACTCAAGGCGCCCCTCAAAGTTTCAGCTCTTACTTCTCACTCCTTTCTCGCCTACGGAGACCTCAACAGAGCGGCTCTTCTGCTGCGGGGAACTCGGGTCAGAAAGTTTTTAATACATGTGAAATCTCTGGGGTTTCCCTTGTTGCACCCTCTGTGGTGAGCAGCACCCTTGAAAGACTCGCCAGGTGCCACGGGAGCCTGGCTGACGATCAGAGAGAGCAGCAAGTTGTATTCCCTTTCCTTTGGTATTTGGCCCCATCTTGCCTCTCAGTCTCAGCTGCCTCCGTAGAGCGAGAGCGTGGCCCCGTGGAGCTCGGTGCCAACTTTCAGGACAGCCTGCACCCCTTCTCCGCTGGCTCCCCCCGCCTGGGAGCTCAGCTCTGCAGACGAAGGTCAGCATCGTCAGTCCTTTTTCATTAAGAGCTCATCATGGGGCCCTGCTGCTCGCTTCCCAGCTGCTAATGGAAGAGCGACTCGCCGAGGCCTTTGCAAGGGGCTGAAGTCAATCACATAAGACCGGCACGACGAGTTCCCAGCTCCTGCCCACAAGTCTGGTGTCCCCCTTTTAAAAATTTGCAGACAGGGCGCTTTGGGTAGATGCGGTCTCTTTTATTAGACCAACTAAACAGCTGGGGGAAACATTATTCTTTGCAAGCTATTTTCTTTGCACAAGCACCCTTCCCCAGGCAGAGAGAGGACAAGATTTTTCAGCTTTGGCAGAAGAGATCGCATTCACCCACAGACCCTCGTCTGCCCGCGTCTTTAGACCGACCAACACCCCCTTTTAAAACAGAAGCGAACGTGAGACAGTGTGCGATTGCCACCTAGTGGAAGCGCCCGATTACCTTTCCTGCCGGGTTTCGTGTCTCCTTCCTTATCGATGTAAAACTCCCGGATATCCACCAGGACCTTCCCCTTGAAGCAGGACACTCGGACGTAGCGCATCTTCCCAATCTGCAAAGAGATTAACCCGCGCGTAACTCGGACCCACACTTCCCCGCTAGGCAGGTGGCCAGCCGCTTCACATGCACGGTGGGGGTCACCCAGCCTTTTCGGGACGAAGCAATGCAGTTTGCAGGCTGGGGGAGGAATCTGATGCTAGCCTTTAAATGCCTGGAGGGTGGCTGTGAAGAGAAAGGCGATGGGTTTTTTCCTCTGTGGCTGCAGGGGACGGGGAAAAGGAGCAACAGGCTTAAACTATCAAGGGAAGTTTTATAGTTTGTTAGTACAGAGCACCGCTTGGGCAGATGACCCCAGCAACGGGGTGGCCAAGGGCAGTTTAGACTGGGTGTTAGGAAGACCTTTCTAACTAGCAGTTGGTAGTGGTTAACTAGCTTTCTAACTAGGAGCCCAGCGGTCAAACACTGGACTAGATTGCCTAGAGAGGCTGCAGAGAGTCTCCATCCTAGAAAGCTGGGGTTTTTTCCCTTTTAACTGCAGGTTAGGCAAAGAGCTGGCGGGGACGGCGTCATCCTGCCAGCCCCACTGGGTGAGGACTGTAAACCCTGGGTCAACCCCGACCGCACTGAACCACAGGCAGGTCAGATACGGCAGGGGGGCGTCCTGCGCCGGCCGGCGGGGCGCGCGGGGAGTTTGGCGGAGGGGAATTCACCTGGAACATGCCCTCTTCCTCGCTGTCTTGCCCGTGGCTTTTTGTCGCCGCCTTGGAGCTGTTGGCCTCGGTTTTGGGCTTTTTCTCCGGCTTGGAGGGCATCTCTTTTTTCCTTTTCTGAAAGGAGAGAGAGGCTATTTAAAAGCTACCTTTGAGGAGCCCTGGCTCTTCACCTCACGGGGTTTCTAGAGTCTCCCAGCATTTGAACACGTGATGGACGGGAGCCAGAAATAACCCCCCCGCCGCCGCCACGACAGCAAAGACAAACCAGGGAGGCGAAGAGAAGGTGGCGTAAGGGGCTATTCCGACACCAAGGGCCACGGCAGCATCCGGGCTGCCCAGGCGGGCTCAAGCGAGACGGGCCCCGTCACAGCTGCCCCCCTAACAGCTTGCAAAGCGGGGCGCCGAAAGAGCAAATGCAAGAGGAGGGGCGGCCCAGCGCCCCCGCCCCGCCGGTACCTTCTCCTTCTCCTTCTCCAGCTCGGAGTCGCTCCCCGAACTGGTGGTTTCCGCCAGCTCCTTGGGCTTGGACATCCTGGAGGACAAAATGCAGACGCTTGGACCTGCCCCTTCGCCTGGCAGGGGCATTGCCCCCGTCCTGCTGCCACTGGAGATCCCGGGGGGCAAGGGGCAACGGGGGAAAGAGCTGCTGCTGCAGCCGCCTGGGATGCAGGGAGGAGGGGAGGGCAAGCATCGCCGGGGTGCCGGACCCTCCTGCCCTGGGCCCTCCTGCCCTGGGCGCTGCCAGGGGCGATGCTGCCTGGGGCAGGGACAGGGGCTGCCCGGGGACCCCGCCCCCAGCCTGGGGCAGGGACAGGTCTGGGGGCAGGGGGAACCCTCCCCGTCCCGCCCCGCACCTGCAGCGCCGCAAACCCGCACTGCGGGCACGTGCTCCCCGCGCCCTTCCCAGCGCCGGCTCCGCCCCCGCCCGGAGCCCCCCAATGGCCAGGCTGCGCTCCAGCGGTCCCGCCCCCAACCCCCACCAGCCGGCCAATGGCGGACGAGCCCGGCCACGTGGCGGATGCCTGCCTCCTGCGTGGGACTGACGGGGTCCTTATGCTGCTTGGGGAGATGGAGGACCCCCCAAAGGTGCTGGTTTGGAGGGGGGGTGGAGGACCCCCCCAAAGGTGCTGGTTTGGAGGGGGGGTGGAGGACCCCTTAAAGGTGCTGGTTTGGAGGGGGGGTGGAGGACCCCCCAAAGGTGCTGGTTTGGAGGGGGGGGACGGAGGACCCCCCCTTGGGCTTGAGCTGCTGGTGGGGGGCCCCCAAGCCCTTTCAAGTTCATGGCGCGGGGCAGGGCAGAGAGGAGCGGGGAGCTGTGGCCCCATTGGGGAGGGGGCTGCGGGGGGCTGAGCATCCCTGGGCCCGGCCCGGCCCTCCCCCTGCAGACGGGGTGAAGCAGGGGGACGGACCAGGAGCCCCGAGGGCCTCCACATCCCGGGCAGTCATCACGGCCGCGTTGGCCCCTCCACCGGCCGTGCTGGGAGCAATGGGCGCCAAGGCCGTGCTGCAGGCCGGGCGGGAAGGCCAGCCGGGCTGGCAGCCGCGGGTCCCCCAGCGCGGCCAAACTCTCCCCCAGCCCACAGGCGCCGGAGCTGTATTTCAAGGTGGCGTTTGGTGTGCTCAGAGGGGCAGAAGTCATTCCTATTTCTACACTATACAGAGGAGCTAACGTGCTGTTTTCATTAGGCCGCGACTCCACCACGTTTCACACCGGGGGCGGCCGGCGTGCGAGGCTGAAGGGTACAGAGTACTGACCACACACGCACACAAATATCCCCTGGGATCAGCCGGGAAAGCCGTCTAAACGGCGAGGATCCAAGCCGATGCACGGTGACATTTGCTACAGCCCTTCGGCTTCCCCATCGTCGTAGCCCTGCGGCTGGGCTGGAGGGGCCGGGAGAGCGGTGCCGCGGCCTGCTCCGCTTTTAAAACGGCAGTGGGAAAATGGGAACTCGGCAGGATTTATCGTTTCTATCCCAACCGCGCAGACCCAAATCCTCCATCGTCTTTTAAAGAAGGGCAAAGCCGCCGGGCCCAACACAAAGCCCGTGCAAGTCAATGGAAGAACGCCCCTTGGCTTCAAAAGCGTTTGGCTCGGCTCCACGGCTCTATAGCATTGCATGAAGTTTGGGGCTTTCCTCAAAGTGAAAGGCTCTAACGCCACGTGCCTCGAGTCGAGCCAGAAACTGCACGGCCATGCAGCAGCCAAGCAGTATCTGCGAACCCCCTTGCTCTCGAGCATTTCAAATGATCTGGGCTGAATCTTGGTCACGGCCACCACCTCCTCCCCGGCCGTTTCACCCTCCAGGCAAAGAGTCAGGAGCCAGGTGCGTGGATCATGGTTTGATTTTTATTTTCAAGAGCATTCTCTCTCCACACTTCACATGTCCCCTGAATAATTAATTAAAACGTACTGAGGGATTGTGGCAAGAGACGAGGAGAGAGAGAAAACCAACAGAAATCAGTGCAGTAATTAAAAGAACAGGAACCTCCCTGGTATCAGACAGAACAATTCACCGTTGTACTTCTGCGCAATACTCTCCCCTCCGGTAGCGAACGGAGACGGGCGAGAAGGGAATGAAACCAGCCCAACTGAGCGGCCAGTCTGGAAACGGTGCACACGCAAGCACAAAATGCAAGGTAGTGTTAAGGGGGGGAACAACTCCATCACCTGGCAGTGTTAGTACATCAGCAGCTCAATGAAGTGGAGTCGGGCCCCAGCCCAGTGCTTTTGCATTTGGGTAGAAGGGAAACGCAGCTGTTTCGAAAGGTTTCCAGGGGCTAAGAACATTGGTGTGTCCCGGTATAAGAGAAACGACGAGGCGCTGGTTCATCCCGAGCCGACCACGTGGCAGACACAAGCCAGAGAGACGTAGAAGGCTGGAATAATTCAAGGTGGCGTTTGGGACGCGCGAGCACGGGGGAGACGTCGGTCCCGTTTCTAAGCTGTGCAGGGTAGCGAACGTGGCGCTGTCGTTCAGCTGCGCTCTGAAGACCCGCGTCCAACTGGTGACTCAAGTCCCAAGTTTACGGTCAAATAAAAGCAAAACCAGAAAGCGAGCTCAGCGTGCAAAGAGACCGAACCACCCGAGAGGAGGGACAGCGCTGAACGGAGCGGCCCCGTTTCATGCAGTTTTGAACCTTTAGGGCAACGTGCTGGATTCACTAGATGCAAGACGCTGCTGCGCAGCTGCCAACTTGCTCCGCTGTTGCCAGACGGGTGGGTGAGCCCTGGAAGAGCCCGTCGACTTCAAAGGACTAGAAAGAAGTCTAGTAATAGGCTTCGCGATGTGAGGAGCATTGGGTCTCGAAATGGAAACCCCGGTGGTTTAGGCTCATAAAACATAAAAGCGCCTAAATTGATCCAGGCTGCACCACAGCACGGCTGAAGCTTTTGGAGAATTTCTGAGCTAAGTCCATTCAGCTGCCCTCGAGTTACAGATATTGGGAAACAAAACGTAAGAAGTATTTTTTTTTTTTTTTTTAATGCTCGCAACTCCAAAAGCCGACTTGGCCCATCCTCCTCGGCGTGCACTTGAATAAATATAGCAACCGCATCTGGAGGGGCTCCGAGCCACTTTTGCACGCGCGGAGCATTGGTTTTGGGAACAGCCGATGCTGCGGACAGATCGCGTCTCTGCAGCCGGTTTGCAAAATAGCCATCTTTTCACCACAACGCTCTCTTCGGAGCTGTATTCTGCGATCCTTAAATCAAGCAGAACTTTCCTGAAACCCAAGTGTTTTCATGGAAAACTAGGGCTGGAAGGAACATCAGGGGGTCGCACTTAGTCCAACCCTCTGCTCCAAGCAGGACCAGCCCCAGCTACATCATCCCAGCCCAGGCTTTGTCTAGCTGGAACTTAAAAACCTCCAAGCATGGAGAGAGCCCACCACCTCTTTGGGTAACCTGTTCCAGTGTTTTACTACCCTCCTAGTGAAAATGTTTTTTCTCCCTAATATCCAACCTCAACCTCCCTTGCTGCAGCTTGAGCCCATTGCTCCTTGTCCCATCATCTGCCCCCACTGAGAACAGCCCAGCTCCATCCCCCTTGGACCCATCTTGCAGGTTTTGCTCCATTCGAGACTGCAGAATCTCCTCCTTTTCTCCAAAACGCTTTCTACTGCAGTGGTAACGCCCTCCGATCTCCCAAAGGGAACGTACCTGCTGCAAGACCCTCTAGAGTCTCTTTCCTTCCTGGTGAGATTATAATCCTAAACCACAGAGCAGGGCACGTACAAACTCTGCTAGCAAAACCCAGTTGCTTGTTCGAGCAAACTGCTCTCCTCAAACCTACTGGCCTTCGCATGGGGGGGTGGGGATGACACACACACAAAAAAAATAAAGAAATTAAAATATTTAGACACATCGATGCTATTTTGATCAGGAAATTATGCTAGTTGTGATGCTGACTCATGTTGACTTCGCTATTCTTATTTTATGTTGACTTCTCTATTCTTATTTTAAATATGCACCTCGGCATACACACAGTAAAAATAACTGAACTAATATTACAGTGATAAACCCCCCCCCCCCCCCCGTTTCCTGAGCCTAGAACATTTCAATTTGTAACCTTGCAGTTATCAGATGGCTGGGAGCTAAAGCAAAAAATAAATGAAGACTAGAGAAGGAGCACATTAGCCACGGTAATTAGCCAGCTGAGCGACTTAACAAGGGATGTGACTGATCTTCCATCACTGGGAATCTTTAAAGCAAGCCTGGCTGCCTCTCTCGGAAATGATAACCCAGCCCGGGTCTGAGCTTGTAGAGGAACTGCCGGATGAAAGTTTCTGTTCTCCCCTCCCCAGCTTGATTGCACCTTGACTGGCTGTTTCTGTTGCTTAATTTATTCCGGTTGAGGGCTTTGGTTTTAACAGCTTATAACCAGAATGTCCCCTGTGAAATCACCGAGTACCCAGATGACATGGCAGCATCCCTCCCTTGTACAAGGAGGTGCCTCCTCTGGGCAGGGCAAAGACATTAGTGAGGCTGGGAATAAGAGAGCAGTCCTCTGGGCAGTCTGCAAGGGGGAGCCTGAAAAATAACTCAAGTAGCCACAGCCTGCTTGAGCAGGACCAGTCTTCTGCTGAGCTGGCTTTCACATCCCCCTGACAGCGGGTGAAGTCGGTGGGTCGCGCGCATCATTGTCCCGTGCCTGCTAAGGCTCAACTTTCACGCCCATGCCAACTTGATTACTTGTTTTCAGCCCTTCCTCTACGAGACCGAGAAGTCCTGCTGCAAACCAGAAGAGAAATGGGGGCACGGTGGAGCCGTGCACGAGCTAGACTCTTCCGTGCTGGATCAAAGAGATGTTTTATTAAATATCGAATCATAGAAAAGGAGGTTTGGGAGGGATCTTGGGAGGTCACATCTAGCCCAACCCCCTGCTCAAAACAGGACCATCCCCAACGAGATCATTTCTCTCTGCATGCGTCTCCGGGGCAGGAAGAGGAGCCAGGCGCAGTGAAATCTCAGCCTGCCGGGAACAGCACCATCGTCTCGTTATTACAAAAAGCAGAGCACCGCACCGGGATCGGCTGGAAGTTTTAATGACTTCAAAAAGAGACGCGGGCAAAAGGGGGGGAAGTGATCGAACTCCAAGGATCTGTGATAGTGGGATTTAGGGCTCGAGGCTTGATTAAATATATCAAAGCCTCTTTCTTCTTCAGGCATGAGGTTGTAAATCCTTCTCTCTCAGATTTATGGGTTTAGTATCTGCAAGTGCCCTTTGATCAGCACTGCCTGCCCCTACCCATAGTAATTAGTGTCTGAACCTACATTCCATAGCAACAAGGTAGGGATGACCAGAGTGCTTAAATCAGAGATTAAATTGCTCCAACCTGTGATAGATCAAGGGATTAGGCCACCAATTGCCCACGAGCGTGTGTCCTGTGACCACACAGCCCTGCCCTCTTTGCTTTAAGATAAAGTGGCAACTTTCCCGCAATCAGGAATGTCCAGTATTTATTTCCTGCACCACAAGGCTCTAAACTGTAGGTTCAGCACTGAAAACTTGATGAGGATGGAGATGCAGCACGATTTACTCCAAGGGGAGCTGGTGATGCTGAGACTTCAGATTGTTTTTGCCCAGAGATATCTGCAAGTGAGGACACCCCAAGCCTGCTCTCTACTGCCTGATGCTCATAAATGTTAGCGACTTCTGCTCCGCGGTAGCCATTCTACACGAAGCAAAGGAGACGCCCCACTGCTCCAAGCTGGGTGGAGGGATGATCTGGGATAATGAAGGAAGAAAACCTTTACCAGAGTGCAAAAACACTAGCAAGCTGTAACATTACAAATCCCCATTTTAAAGAATCAGAAAGTGAGGGTTGGAAGGGACCTCACAGAGTCCCAACTACATCATCCCAGCCAGCACTTTGTCAAACCAGGCCTTAAAAACCTCCAAGGATGGAGGCTCCACCATCTCTCTGGGTAACCCGTCCCATCCCAGTGCTTCCCCACCCTCCTGGTGAGAAAGTTTTTCCTAATATCCAACCTCAACTTCCCTTGCTGCAGCTTGAGCCCATTGCTCCTTCTGTCATCTGTCACCACTGAGACCAGCCCAGCTCCATCCTCTTTGCAGCCCCCCTGCAGGGAGATGGAGGCTGCTATTCGATCCCCCCCTCAGTCTTCTCTTCCCCAGACTAAATACGCCCAGTTCCCTCCACCTCTTCTCATAAGTCATGCCCCCCAGACCATCTTTACTGCCCTCCACTGGACTCTTTCCAACTTGTCCACATCCTTTCTGTAGTGGGGGGCCCACAACTGGACACAGTGCTACAGATGTGGCCTCACCAGTGCAGAATAGAGGGGAATAATCACTTCCCTTGATCTGCTGGCAACGCTCCTACCAGTGCAGCCCAGTAGCTGTTAGCCTTCTTGGCAACAAGGCCACACCGCTGGCTCACGTCCATTATTGTCCACTGTCACCCCCAGATCCTTTTCTGCAGAGCTGCTGCTTAGCTACAGGCTGGGGAGCAACTGGCATTGCCAGCAGATCGAGGGAAGTAATTATTCCCCTCTATTCGGCACTGGGGAGGCCACATCTGGAGTCCTGTGTCCAGTTTTGGGCCCCCCCACTACGGAAAGGATGTGGACAAGTCGCAGATGCTTCAGCCAGGCCCCCAAACTACAAGGCTGTGATGGCCTAGCTAAGTTGGCGAACAGAAACGTTCACTGCCTCTTAAAAAATGCAGCTTCACTGACACCCCCCAGGGCATGGGCTGTAGGTACCCAAGAGAGCCCAGCAGGCATGCAAGGGAGGGAGCAGACGTCGGGTGCGACATGAAGGCAAACTGCCACGGTTTTCTTCCAAATCAAGGAGGAAACAAGCATCCACAGTCCATTTACGATGGCTTCTGCAGTGGGGTTGCTAGCAGCCCCAACCAGACCAAGGGACCCATTTGAAGTCAGCACCCAAGGGAACAGCAGAGGGCAAGTTTCTCCTCTAAAACTATTTTCACACGTGTGGGGTATTTACAACAGCAAGCAGAAATCCCTGGAAAGCTGCTAACCCTTGTGAAGAGTCAGGCCCTTTAAGGAGTAGAGTCAATGCACACTGGCTACAGTGGGATATTCGCACAACAGGGGAGAAAGTCTTAGTGAAGCTGAATAATCTCTTGTTAATTCTTTTTTTTTTTTTTTTAAGAGATGATTGAACACCCAAGAGGTTTAAACCCTCGTCCAAAGGGCTTGGTTACTGAAACTCCAGACCCTAACACGCTGTTCTGCACTAACACACATCTGTGGACAGAGAGCTAGTGCTTTTCTTGTGCGGGGTAAGGGGAGAAGAGGGTGCTTTATTTCAATACCCCAGGGAAGAATTTAGCCTCAAAAGAATGACCTGTGGTTTGGGGAAATACTGGCTGGCTGTACACGAGTGGGGGTAGGTTGCTCCGACATGCTGTAATTACAGCGCATCAGAGCAGACTCAATTAATCTGATTGACACTAATACACGAGACGCAGCGGCACTTTAATTAGAGAGGCTCTTGGAGGCACTCTAATTAAAGCGCTGTGTGTCCCGGCCCCCCACCAAGCACACGTAAAAGTGTCCACCGTGTCTGCACAGAGCACAGTAAGTACAGAAAGAAACTTGTACAAAAGCATGCTGTTGTCAGCTGGAGATCTGCTATTAAAATCAGAGAACGTCAGGCTCAGATGTCTCCAAAGCCTGGCTCCAAGCTAGTGGCTATTTTCACTTTAGGACTTGGTGGTTACAAAACTAAAAACTGCCTCCCCTGCTAGCAGGCCTCATCACAAAATGGTTACAAGACACATTATATTCCAGTTATCTTAGAAATCTAATTGAGGGGCTTACTATTACGATGGGGGCTAATAGTTTCTGCATACGTCTTCCCCACGGTTTTAGGCAACCCCATCCTCAAGTATTAGCCAACAGAAGAATACAGTCTTGCTTAAGGACACAGGTAACAGAGAATGAGTGAGTGCCAGGTATTAACGCATGCGCTCTCCATTACAATTCTAGAAACAGCGACATTCATTCAACGTTCAGAAGACCTCCTTTAGAAAGTAACGGCTGATGCCCTGCCTCTCTCGGGAACAGGAAAAAGGAAGCCACAGCCGTGCTTTGGGTACTGACACGTACACACACACACACACACACACCACGAGGCTAGGACCAGCAGTCAGAAAAGAGAAGTGACAAGAAATATTAAACAAAGCCCTGAGATGCAGGCGAACAGGGCTGAAAAAAAATCAGCCCAGCTGGGAGTGGAAAGAGAAAGGAATGGAAAGTAACTGGATTACTGACCAGATAGCATGACCAGTACTAGCTTGCTCATGCTATTAGTATAGCCAAAGTGTCGACACAGAACGGCCTAGGGGGTGGATCCTGCAGCAGCTCTGAACTTCAAGCCTCCCTCTCCCGCCCCCGGCTGAGAACAGCAGGAGCCAAGCACAGCAGCAGCAGCAGCAGCAGCAGCAGCACCAGCAGAGTGGTTGAGGAAATCTAGCACACAGCAGAACGCAGCCTCCCGCAGAGGCACATCACGTAGGGAACCCTGTGGTGGGAACCCGCAAACGATCCTCCTTCTTTCCTCAACCTGATTAACAGTCGAGGTTGTTTCCGTGCACCTTCGAAACAAGGGAACTGTTATTGCACTGTCTGAAGAACATGCAATGAGCCGTTTGCTGGAGACACTGGTTGCCAAATACCCCTCTCCTGAAGCTGGCGGGGAGGGTGGGGATGGAAGGAAGAGGTGCAGTAGGAAACGTGCTAGTAATTCTCTCTTTAATTTACATGTGCACATGTTTCAAATGAGTGCGTCGAGTCCTGTTTGCTGAGCAGAGCTTTCCCCCGCGGTGGTTCCCAGCTGGCTGCACGGCATGCGTCTGTGAAGCCAGGTATAGCACCCACGCCCTTCACAGAGACTCTGTTCAGAGGAATCGTTACCTTAGGCAGCATTTGCACTACCCGCAGGGGGTCGCCAGTCTCTGCAGGTCTCCCTCGCCATGATGGAAATGAAAATTGGCAAGCTGGAAGGGGGCGGGGAGCTGAAAAGGTGCACGAGAGCTGAAATTTCTGTTAATTGCTGCTTTCCTTCCTCCTCTGGGTTGGTGAAGAGAGAAAGGGAGGAAAGCATGCACCATTCAGTGGAAGGCAGAAGCTCCTGCTGGGCTCACCGGTGGCTCAGTGCTGCTTGATGGGATGGGTTTGTCGCTTCACTGCTGCTTGGTTTTAAGGGATAATCTCTGCACTGTCTTGTAGAGGAGACCAAAGTGCTAGAAAGGGTGAAAAAAATTACAAGTGAGTCCATGTAACTGCTAACAGAAAGGCAATATGCATTTTCCCCTATGAGGAGGAGCACGTTTGGAGGCAATGCTAGCACATGAGTGCCAGACCTGGGTTGGGGCTGAGTTCACCCCACACCAAGAAGAGCCTAGTTGGGTCTTAGCAAACCGATGTTACAACGCAGCCTGCAAAGCAAAGGTTACAAGAGAAGAAGAATGAGCTCGGTACGGGAATGCCCAGACAGGTCTGCCAGCACAGCCCTATCAATCACTGGCGGCCATAAGCTGTGTGCTACCAATCTGAAATCAAGCTAATTTAAACACTAGGTTTTTCAACCCGACCCTGCTCTCTCACTGAAGCTGCTGGGAAACTCCTGCCAAGTTTGGTACAGCGTGATGTGGCCTGTTTGCAACATGAATGATTTCAGGATTGCAAAACAGAAAAGCAGCCAATGACAAAGGCTTTAAAGCCTTTCACACTGCTTTGGCTTTTGTCGTTTTACAAGTGGTTTAAAACCCATCCAATTCCTGTTAGAAATGGCTACTGCAGACATTTAGATTCAGAAATTCATAGTTGTTAGGGGCTGGAAGGGGCCTTACAAGATTATTGGGTCCAGCCCCCCTGCACTTGTGCAGGAAAGACTGCTTGGGTCACAAAACACGGTCACAAACTCCCAAGCAGCCAGTCCCAATGCCCCCTGATCTATCTGGCTACTAATAAATTAGTGGACAGACCCTTTGAATCATACAAGACCATGGGTTTTTCCTCCAAGTTAATATATATATGTATGTTGAATCCAATCGTGTTATTTCCTTAAATTAAAAAAAATCACAAAAATAAGCCTGAAGGTCCAGACCATGACCCACTGACTCCCTGCCATTGACCCTTAAAAAGAAAACCACTGAGGATTAGGAACCAGATATGCAGTGGGCTCATTAACACATCAAACGCAGCAGCTCGCTGAGTTTACACCCAGGCCAACAAGCTTAGGACATCAGGATGACTGAGCCAAAATACCACCCTGAATAGACGCTCTTTTATTCCAAAGGCCCTGTATTCCCTGATCTCTTCCATGCTATGGTTCTTTTTATTTAAATAAAACCCCTAAGTTTTGAGTTGTCTGCAATTCTGGCACCTTGTGCTCAGATGTTATGTGAGTCTCAGTGCGTGATCTAACCTATCACAGGCTGTAAATCCTTAAATATAACAGACACACAGTTGAATTAATCCGGATGGAATATTTTAATCTGAAGCCCATGAAAGCAACTGCAGGTCGAATTCAAGGTAATCTAACAGATGTAGCCCATCTTTTAAAGATATGTATCGCATTATCATCCTAACGACTCCTGGCAAGGGCAAGCAGATGAAAAATTTCAGCACCGGAAGAGGCCAAAGTCAGGGGTACCACAGCTTGAATCAGGTTGGGACTGCCTGAATACACCCAGCATCCTGTTCCCATAGTTTAAAGAGGAAGCAAAGGAATGGAAGGATCTCTCCTGTTTCCTCACCTGGACTGCAATGTAGGCAACTCCGAGGTAGGCTGCTATGCAGAGAGCCAGGAGCAGGTCAAAGATTGCCGGCTTGACCCTAAAACAGATGAACAACCAATGAGAACACTACAGTAGCCAGACCCATGGAGGTGAAAGAAACCCCAGCCTGCCCCAAGGGAGATACACACCTGTACGCATTCATCACCTGCTTCAACTGATCGTAGAAAACAAACTCGGGGTCCCTGTGAAAAGAAGCAGTCCTTTAAATGCTGTAACCCTAATGGATACTGGGTCCAGGGGAAGCGAAGGAAGCCTTTTAAAACCTCCAGTCCTTCCTCTGCCTTCTGAAGGAAGCGACTGACTCAGAAGCAGGAGCATTTCACAGACCAATGTACAGCTGTTGCTAGCTACCTAGGTAAACTACTACTCCTATACACCCCCCGCCACTTAATCAGAGACAGAGCAACACCCAGATCACTGAACCCCATCTAAGATCCAAGACAAGGCTGTTTTCTGACCTGGGAACAAGTCTGTCTCCATAAACGCTTCATGCATCTCAAAGAGCAGGTGCCCTGGGAATGCTTTATTTAGCCCACGGGTTGCCCCATCCCAAAGAGCTAAACAGGGAAGACAGACCATCTCTTTCTGAGATCAGGCTCTGGGTGCAGAGAGGCTGCTGTTCCTTTTACTGCATCGAAGGAAGGCTTGGTAGTATTTCAAAGCAGACTGCCAAGGAAGGAGGGGCTTGAGCAGGGAAAAACAAAGCCTCCTTATTGACACCACTGAAGCTGAGACTATTATTCATGCTTGCTGGAATCCAGAAGAATTCCTTAAAGCAGCGGTTTTCAACCTTTTTTCATTTGTGGACCCCTAAAAAATTTTGAAGGGAGGTGCAGACCCCTTTGAATTGTAAGTGTAAGTATTCACATACTTTTGATTGATCATAGTCGTCTGTTGTGGACCTCTTAGACATAGTTTGCAGACCCCCAGGGGTCCATAGACCACAGGTTGAAAACCACTGCCTCAAAGGATGTGGCACTTCCTGCTAGAGTCATGGTCTGCATCTTCTACGGAGTAAAGGCACAGCAGAGAACAGGGAGCACAGGCACCCCAGGCTGAGGGCAGCATCTGAAACGCTGCCACCCACCGAGACACTTCCCTTACCGTTTATCTGCCTTCACATGATGCTGTTTGACATCCTTCAGGTAGCGCCCCATATAGTATTCTAAGGTGTTGAGGAAGGTGCTGTCTTTATCGATGAGCTGGGCGGCTCTGGGCTGACTGGTCAGCCAGTCCATCACTGACTCGAGCTGCTCCTCCTGAATCTCCTGCAGAAAGAGAAAGGACCAAGTTCACATGACTGACTAAAGGACACCAGAGCGCTTCACTTCAAATCATGTCTAGGTCCCCTGCTCCCTTACCATCTGCTCTGTGAAGATCTGCAGGTCAGCTGGAGCCCCCTGTGGAGAGAGAAAGGGGATGCTGCAATGAAGGCAGATGTAGGGGTTTAAGATATTTGGGAAAAGCCTGGCTGACTATGGGAGGGGGATTCTTACCTTCTCTGTTAGGTTGTAGATGACCCGTGTTAGAGCTTCAGCAATGATCCTGGTGTTGCGTGTGAGAGCCTTGGTGTCCACCCACGCTCTGCAAAAGGAAAAGGAGGAGTGTAGCTGGCAGCAGTGTCTGCTGGATAACGCCCTTTTCATGGCATACCACTACTTTGAGAAGAGGAGGAACAAGAAGCCCAGCCGTGGCATGATTATGGATTGCTGTTCCCCACTCCGAGTTGGTTTCTTCCATTACTCCAGGTGCACAGAGAGGACTTGGTAAAGGTACGACACCAGAAAACCATTTGCTAAACTCCCACGTCCACTCAACAACTGATCAATCACCATAGCCCGCTCCCCCAGCCCCCAAATCACTGACCTCACATCCATGATACTGTTGCGCAGACTGTCCCGGTGACTTTCCAGGTGTGAGACAGTGAAGGCAGGCAGGCGGCGGATGGCGAAGCGCTCATGTTCCCATGCCAGCATGTCATCAGCCAAGTTGATTTTCTTGTGCACCATGGAGAACTGTACTCCGGGGAACTGGCTGGCAACCACCTGTGGGAAATGTCCACCAGCCGAGAAGAAGGATGCCCAGGGACTAGGAGTCCCATTGCTTCCAAGTACATCCCCTCCCCTCCCTCTCCAAACCAGAACTGGCGCTTGTAATGGAAACACTTCCTCCTCCATTCAAAGAAAAGGGGTAAAAATTTGTGCCAACAATCTGCCAGGAGGGGCCGGTGAAGGCAGAGGCACCTGGAAAATAAGGACCCTAACATAAGTCACAACCCTCAAATTCTGGCTCTTAATATCTATGTGATGTTTTATGGTAGCCACGTGGCCAAGGCTGCCATCTGGCAAAGGAGCCAACTATAACGGGTTCTTACAAGCAAGAGGCTCTATAGGGAAGCTCTAGGGGAAGGTAACTGATCCAGTCTGGTCCATTCTGGATTCCTAAACCATGGAGGACTCTTCGCTCCGATCAAGTCTACCAGAAATAAGAGCCTAGGTCTACATCAAAACTGCTCCCCTTCAGCACCTTAGGTACACACGCTCCATCATGGAAGCAAAACAGCTCCCCTTGGCAAGTCACCCCCAGGCTTCCTCCCAGGGAACATGCATTCAGTCAACCCAACCCAATGTGTTACCATCTCCAGCTCCCTCAGAAACGCATGCTGCAGGGTCCCCTCCTTGGGAGGCTTCGAAACATGGAGGTGAAGACTGTTCCCTCGGCCCAGGGTGTCGAGACAAAGAACAAACGCGACGTTGTCTTGGAGCAGACTGGAATCTGAAACAGACCGAGCCAAACCCCTGAGTCTGTGCTCGAGGACCAGAAACATCTGCAGGACATATGGAGAGGAGGTCTCCCAGTGTGGCTCGCATATTAGTGATTCAAAGTAAAGAGTTCAGTATGCTTCTTGTTCCCTTCTCTTTCCATGCAGCAATTCAGACAGCATGGAAAGAGACTGTACTGTGCCTTAACACAGTAGGTTGGTGTGGTTGGGCGGACGATAAAATCCTACCCAACTGGAAAGATGACTTCCCTGTAACAATGCTTGGCATTAATGGCACCTTTCATTTGAAAGAGCTCAAAGTATTTTACATGTGCATTAAGTTGCCCAATTCTGTTGCAACAGTTTAATGGTAGCGTCTTCATTTTAGAAGGGGAAACTAAGGAACAGAGTGAAAAGACCGGCCCAAGGAAGAGACCAGATCTCCTGACTCCAAGTCATGCTACAACCACCAGCTCGGGGTTCCCTTTTACACTCAGAGAAGCAAGCGCACAATGCACCTTGGAAGGGTGCGTTTACCAGAGGAGCTCACTGCAAGGTGCTAATCCAAAGCTGGACATCTTATTTTTGGTCTTGGTCATACAGCCGTGAGAGCCAGACTCTGAAGCGAGACAGGACCCAGTGAGCTAATAGCTGGCCTGCAAACAGTATTATAGCCATGGAAGTTAACTGGGGAAGGGAAGGGGGTGGTGATTTTATCGCAGCACAGGGAGTGGAGGTTCTCATAGAAGAAGAGAAGACCGAGGGGGATTTAATAGCAGCCTTCCACTGCCTGCAGGGGGTTCCAAAGAGGATGGAGCTGGGCTGTTCTCAGTGGGGGCAGATGACAGAACTAGGAGCAATGGGTTCCAGATGCGGCAAGGGAAGTTGAGGTTGGATATTCGGAAAAAAAACTCTCACTAGGAGGGTAGCAAAGCACTGGAACAGGTTACCCAGAGAGGTGGTGGAATCTCCATCCTTAGAGGCTTTTAAGACCCGGATAGACAAAGCCTTAGCTGGGATGATCTATTTGGGGATGGTCCTGCTTTGAGCAAGGGGTTGACATGACCTCCTGAGGTCCCTTCCAATCCCCGTTTTCTACAATACTAAGTTGCTCGACTCAGCAAAGCCTACAGAGTGATCCCACACACCCATCCCTTCCCATCTCTCAAACCTGTGTGATCCAAGTTGTCTTCTAACCACCTCTTGGTTCCCTGATAGTTAAACTTGCCACCTCCAGATGCGAAGAACAGCAGATTATACCTGCGCACCGAGAAACGGGGAAAAGTGAGTCAGTCGCATTGATTTACTGGGTGTAGAAACAACCTTCTCAGGGAGTACTCAGAACCACGCATGGAATTCAAAACGATTCCCAGACTAACGATGGCTCATTAATAGGAGCTGCCTTCTGTTAGCATCCAAGGGTGAAGTCACGATGGCTTTCACTTCGTGTACCAGACACACTTGAGTGTAATATCCAGACAGGAATAGAACGTCACCCACATGCTAACACAAGGCAAGGAAATGCCTGCTGGAACGCTGAATGCTTGGTGCTTCTATGTCCTTTGCATTTCCAAAGATCTGTATGGACATTAACTAATCCAGGCGCCCAACAACCTCGTGAAGTTGGGAAGAGTCATTAGCTTTGCTGAACTGATAGGGAACAGGCATGGAGATTAAGGGATTCACTACTGATCACAGTGTAAAACAGTGACAGAGCAGGGTTTACAACACGATAGTTCCTGACTCTTATGTTAATCTTATTCTGTTGGAGTCTCCCATTCACCAAGCATGAACTAAAACCACTGCATGGAAATAAAGAGGAAAGAGCCCGCTGGAGAAGGAGGTGCAGTTGTGTTTCATGGCAGGATTTGTGGTACACACACACACAGGCTGCTGCTTTAACCCTGTCTGCACCGACTGTGTTAAGGGGGCTTTGCCTGCAAAACATTTCCAACCCTGCAGGTTCCACTGGGTCACTCCAACCCCACATTCTGGGACCCAGACAGCAGCACCTTACCCTGCATGGGTACGTTTGTAGGTGTAGAGCCGAGAAAACAGCCTGGCGAGCTCCAGGAGCACAGAGATGCCGCTGGCATTGGAGTCTGCACCGTGAGACAGCCACTGGGGAGACAAAGACAGGACTGAGAAAGTGGACTCCCCTGCCGGCTCAGAGAAGCGCCAATGCAAGCCTAACGGGTAAAGCACACGAGCTTCCGCCTTGGCACAACAGGGACAAAGGGGAGGGGAAAAAAATATTTACCGGGGCCACGCCAAAAGAGTCGTAATGGGCCACTATCACAATGGTGGGCAGGTCCTCTCCTCCCAGCCCAGTCAGCCTCCCCTGCAGAAGCCAGAGAGAAGCATTACCCTGCAGTTCTTCACTGCCTTTATAGCAGCACAGCTTACTTCCCCCCTCTCCCCCCACAAATCTGCCACCCACTCCATCTCAAACAGCCTCAGCACCAAACCCTCCTCCCACTGCCTTCAAGCACCGTGCCCTTAACCTGCTTTCTGGATTCAGCTGCCGGGAAGACACAAAACCCTCCTCTACTATGCAACTGAAATTCTGTTTCTCTCTTGTAACCCTCAGGCAGCTTCATCTTTTTGATCCCCAGGTACACACCGCCTGGTCACCAGCTGAAGGAGCTTTTCTATAGCTATCCACCAGCCTAGACCCCACTCCCGAATCATGAGAACTCACCTCCACGCTGGTTATGAGCCAGTCGCTGACAGCTTTGCTCTGAGCCCCGCTGGTAACCATCTGGAAGCCATTGGCAGTTGCTGTGTGCAACAGCACTAGAACAGACAGTTAAATATACTTGGGAAACAATCCTGTCTCTTGATTTCTTCTGCCAGCTGATCCATGGAGGGCCCCGCTATGCCAATTAAGCCCATTATATCTCTGACTCATTGTTTATATTGCTGCATTTCAATGAAAATCTGGTGAGCATTTCAGTTCTTCTCAGCACTGAACTCCCGCAGCAACATACACCCATAGACCTCAAGAGTGTTACAGGTGATGTAGCCTAGTGGAGTAACTATTACAGCCTACTTAGACAGAGACGGTTAACTCACGTCTGCCCAATGACAGGCTGGTTAGTGTCAGAGTCAGGAACACGACCAAGGTGTGCTGGCTCCTAGGACTCTGTTGGAACCACAGACGCAAACCTTTCAGGCCAATCTCACTGCGTTTGCTCATGGCTGCTGCCAGCGTGAGATGAAACAAGGTGATGAGATCCCGTCATGACCGTATTCCTAAGCTCTTATTACAGTGCTTCCCATCCACGGAACCAAAAGCACTTCATCAAGGAAGTGAAGTTTCGTGATTCCTCTGCCACCAGCTTGCAGATGTGAGAAGGGAGCCAGGGAGAGCAGAAGTGACCTGTTCAAGTCACATAACAGCTCCGTGGTAGAGCTAGGAGTGGAACTTGGGAGTCCTCACTCCCAGTCAGTTTTAGCCACTAGACAACACTGCCTCTCCAGAATGCTCCCCAGAATGGTGTGGAGCCATTAGCTACTACTGTCCTTTGGGGCATCTAATTAAGGATCATGTGTCTGGCTAGTTTCAATGCCCTCTGAAGCCCCTTATGCTGCAACTCACCTTCAGCAGCTGATGCAGAACCCTGCGATGCAGAAGCAGCCTGTGTTTGTTCGTAGATGGAGAGCAGCTCGTCATCCTCTACTGCAAAGTAGACGGGCACGATGGTTTCCATGGCCAGCATTTCAGGCTCTATCTCCATGAACTGCTGAGAATTCGGAACACCAGACACAAACTTAGGGTCTATCGCACATGCCAGGAGGCAGCAAAATGAATGGCCAAACAGGAGAGAAACCCAAGTTCTCACATCAACTTTGACAGAACATAACCCTCGCACCCACAGCGGGGGTTTTGTCACAACTGTAACTTGAATCTCTGCTCCCTTTCAGCAATGACATTCCCACCCTTGCCTCCCCATCCCCTGCCTGCCTTGCGAGATATTTACCCGGACAACATCCTGCGGAACCGATGACATGGCCTGGGGCAAAATGATGACCACGGCGCCGGCAGATTGGCGGAGGGCCTTCTGGTACTGCTCGTACGAGAAGTCCATCAGCCGCATCATGACGCAGCGTCGGCTCAGCACGTCCGCCTCGATGGTGCGGGCCTCGGTGTTTAACACCGCATTCCTGGTACCTGTGGGGAAGGATCAAGAGAACATGTAGCCGACGGTCTCATTGTCTTTCATACGGCAACACAGCACGTGTATTAGAGCATTCTCCGTTCCAAGCTGGCTGGAGTATTTTGGAGAGGAGATTTGAAACCATGCGAGCTTTTCCTTTCCTTCGGGACGGCCTCACTGTTGCCCCTTCCCTACATAGCTAAGGTCAGGGTGGGACTTGGCTACACTAATTATACTAGTTCATAACCACCTTTGTGCCATCATGTCCTGACACTCACCTGTCCCCATTCTAATCAGTGCAAAAGTGCACTGCAGTGCAACAGCAGTCTGGGAGCTCACCAGCAACACTAATGCTCTCTGGCAGAGATCTTTGACATGGGGAAGGCTATGGAGGGTGTCATGGTGTTACTGGAAGTGTGCAGACACCCTGCTGCTTCTAGCAATCAGCACTGCAAGCGATGGAGATAATGGAGGGGGCATGAACCATGCCAGGAGGCAAAGCTAATTCCTCCATTTGTTGGCTCTCTCATCATGCAATGAAGTTTTCTAGCTGCTAAAACACTTCACTCTTATACAGGCAAGTGCTGGATGACGGGGTCTGTTTCACTGACCTTAACACAGGCGGGCTAGAGGGGCCCACGGTGTAAGTGTCAGCTCAGTCCACACTGAGACGCTGAACCAGCCCCATATAACAGTTTGGTCTTGTTCATGTATCAGATCATTTTCTAGTAGAACACACATCTTTTCGTGCTGTACCAGCAAGGGAAGAGCACCCAGGAGCTGCAACGTGACAGCTTTTGAACATAGCCCTTCACATACCACTTCCCACCCCTCCATGGTCTCTCTGAGCAGCACAAAGAGGGACTCTTCTTCTCTCTGAAAACTGCATTTCACATGCGCGCGCGCACAAGCACACACACTGTGAGGTGTAACGTGACTTCTATCCTGCAAGCACAGATTTATGCTTGCACAAAGGACAGAAAGGACCACTGGATCAGCTGGTAGGATGCGTAGGATGCTCTGTATAACCCAGGCTGTAGAAATATGATCGAGTTACCCCTGCTGCAGTCCAGCTAGCCCAGACCCCTGCACATGTGCTGAGAATACTTTGGTGAATCAGAATACTTGACTGAGGCCTCGATCTATAGCATCTCTCCCACCCCAAGAGCAATGACTGCTTAAACCAGCAGTTTTCAGCCTCTTTAGACTCAAGGCCTCCCTTGATAGACTCAAGACACCCCTTGGAAAATGCCAGCTCTTGTTTTTTGACTTAAGAAAAACACTAGAGCAATTCTTCTGTTGCACATAACTTAGAAAAACCACAGCAAGCCAGAATGCTTTTAACACTCTGAATTCCTATTAAAAATCTCTGGGTTTCTCTTGTGAATCATGTTCGTGCTCAATGATACTCATATTGCCTGGAACCCTGCGGCACCCTTGAAAGGACCTCAAAGCACCCCAGGGTGCTGCAGCATCACAGGTTGGGGTTTTTTAAAGCAAATCATTGCAAGTAGTACAGCTCTGTTCCAACAAGACATCAGCCACTGCAACAACGAACACCCGTAAAAATTGTTTCAATGCAAAAAAGCGCCGTTTTCTGTAACGTTTCTACAAGAAGAGATGATCCATTTGATAACCATGACTCTGAAGGACTTTTGTTTCAGTGGCCTTAGAACAAGTTAAATTTTTGCTCTTAAGTTGCCCCAGGGTTAAATCTTAAGTGGGGGGGGAGGGAAGAAAAGAAAAATCCTAGTTGGTTCCTTTGGAAAAGAATTTGAGAGTTTGGAACAACAAAAAGCTTTTATCCCAAAGGGCATTTGGCCTCTGAACACACGGAAGAGGAACATTAGCTACCCAGAGGGTTTGGCGAGGAACGAAGGGAATACACAATCCGCTCAGCTGAGAGGGACCAGAAAAAGAAACAGCATTAAAAGTTAATTGCAAGTGTCTTAGAAATCAATGTGCTGCTTTTCTAAGAGCCCAAGAACAACTCAGGATTTGAGAGGTAAGTCACCATGGCTTGGTTGGAGCTAATATCCTAGCTGCTTAAGTTAAAGCCAACTCGACTCTGTGCACACTACCTGCTGTCACCGCCTGCCAGCAAAGACTTACTGCTGTTGGCAGAAATAGTTTAATATCTCCAGACAAGACAACAGCTGTGATCTAACGAGGTTCTCAAGAAGGGAGCTCTCACGACAGGTAACGACTAAACTCAAAACCAGCGACAAGGACCCGGTCTTCGTAAGCGATCTCAGATATCCCACAAGCCACATTCAGACCGGCATTTGCAAAGCGCACGCAACTAGCTGACACTGCTTTATCTTTACAGGTGTTTAATCTTCCGAAGGTTCAGAGCGCTCCAGAGATTCGATCCCCGGCATGGCGTGGGATGAATCTGGGGCTGGTTGACTGATACCTACGTATTTTTAGTGACTAGAAAACAGCTGCAGATTGAAAAGCACGACGACAGAAGATAGTAAAACCCACAGAGGAACAGAATATATTTATATTAAAAGACACAGGAGATCGACCCCATAGAAATAATGTTGGTTAATATACGAGGGAGTAAATGTTAAGACACGTGACTCCGAAGAGCTGTTAGATTTCAGGCTCGAGGCAAGAAGTTGAGCAATCGATAGGACGTCAAGTTTGGCAACAAACGGGCTAAAAGAAAAAGACGGGACGGGGGCAATGCGAAGGAAGGACTAAAACAAGAGGGACTGGAGAAGAGACCTGAACTTGCAGGGGGACGGCGGGAACGTGGCACAAATCGGCAGGAGGAAAAGGGACGGGAAAACGGGAGAGATGAGGAAGACGGGAAGTCAACCCGCCCTGCGCAGAGGGAGGGAAGAGCAAAGAGCGCGAGGAGAGGTCGCTGTCCTAAGCATCAAAGCGCTGCACGAGGCGGAGAGCAACCTTGCACCGCCGCCTCGCACGCCCGCCCGCCCGCAGCAGAGAGATCTGCAACGTCCCTGCGTTGCGCAAGAGGCCGCGTTACACGAAACTTCAGTCGCTGCTCAACGACCTCCGAAAACGCCCGCAGACCTGGAAGGCGGCGAAAACCTCTCTGGAAACCAGACGCTACCGACGACCCGGATACCGTAACCGGCGCCGACGCGACGCTCCACGTGTAGGAGACGGCCGCTGAAACCTAACGCGGGGGGAGAGAAACGTCCCGCGCGCGGACAGACAGCCCCCGGTATCCTTCTTCAGCCTGGAAAAGAGACGGCTGAGAGCGGCTCGGCGAACAGCGCTCGCTGGGGCAACGGCCGCAAACTCCTGGAGGACCGACTCGGGCGCAACGTCAGGAAAAACTTCACAATTAGGGTGTCCGGACTGTGCAATAGCCTCCCTCCCGCGGTGGGACCATCGCCTACCTGGTGGGGTGGGGGGGAAGGCACAGGTCTGGGGGGTGGGTAGGCCCAGGTGCG